CCGACACGGCATAAGTAAGTCGTGTCACCTAGCTTTAATACCCTACTTCTAATATAAATTTGTTGCTCATTGAGAGTGAACAACTACAGCCTGCACGACTTCCCTATTATTAATTCAAATTCAATATTTGAGTAATTCACATTTTTTGTTTCGTTAACCCCCGCACAGTTTGAGCAAAGGAAACCAAATGAGATCAAGCAATAACGAAGATCAGTGCAAGGCAGCACACTTTTGGCACGTGCCAATGAAAATTTGATTACTACTGACAAATAAAGTATCGATGTACATATTTCATTAAAATGTTTTTTTTTTTTTTGGGGTACAACACAGAATAACATAAACATTTAATACATTTTTCATTGGCTGTGTGTAATCGGTTAAGAATTTCTCACCGAGAATAAAGAGATGCCGAAAACGAAAAATAACGGACAAGTCAATATACAAATACAGTGGTTGTTACATAAAATTAATTGAGTTGGCACTTTGTATTCAATATAGAGTTTGTATTCGGGAGCGGCGTTTTCGTAGATCCGGTGCAACTCCTGTGCCGGTTCGTATCTGGCGTGATGCATCAGAGCTCTCAGCTCTAACAGGTACTCCATGAATTCCTCCCCCTCGCGTTGCCTGTAGGACCGGATTTCGTCCTCAAGCCATTCGAAGTAGCGTGGGGCAGGAAGAACAGGAAGAATCAAAAACCCCTCCTGAACACCGACCATAGCACATCTCTAAGCCCACCGACCGGCCCTGTCGCAGAACACCTCACTCATCGGCCGGGGCAATCTATCGAGGGCGATGGCGCGTTTCTCTAGGTCTCCAAGAACTCGAGGGGGTCGGAGCGATCATCGTATCTCATGCCCCACCTCCGAACTTGTTCCGGAGCGTTTGTGAAAGGCCTAACCTCCGACCGAGAATATGGTGGTTGGGCCCCACGCCTACGTTGGTCGTGGTTGCACGGCGGTCTCAATTTTCCTTGGGATCGGGAGCCTCTTCCACACCCGTGACGGCCACACCAGGGATAGGCGGCCGCGGACGCCTGTACAATTGTGAGCTCCTATGATCAGACTCTGACTTTTGGCACGGCCGTCCAGCCACGTGAGATGGGACGCCCCAGGATAGGTCGTGATCTGCGCTAAAAAACTAATAAAATTGTTTCCTTGCCAGCCAGAGACTTTGCCAGAGCAGTGGATAACAGCACATTCAAATATGCTGTTATGTACAGTCACGGACAAAAGTATTGGCAATTGTGGTGTTGTCAACTAAAAATTCGAAATTTGAGAATAACCAACTTATTATTTTATTGAAATATATTTTTTTTATGATCTTTTAAATATCTAACTCACTTAAAAGTATTAAAAAAGGAACATTTTTTGTTGCTTCAAGCCTTACAAATAAAAAACAAAAAATATGGTAATTTTCATAGGGACAAAAGTATTGGCAAAAAATTAAATAATTGTGTTAAAATTTAAAAAAATAAAACATGAGATAAAAATTAATACTTAGTCGGCATGCCTATTTGTTTTATAACGCTTTCCAGGCGATTTGGCATCGAATGCACCAATTTCCGGGCAAGACTTGGCTCAATTTTGTGGCACTCTTCCATTAGGGCTTCTTTAAGCTCAGCCTTTGTTGAAAATGTATGCTTTCTAAGCCTTTTTTCTAGTTCCTCCCATAGGTGCTCGATTGGATTGAGGTCTGGTGATTGAGGAGGATGTGGAAGAACATGAGCTGTATTGTATGCAAGCCACATTCGCACATCATGGGCCTTGTGCTTTGGATCATTGTCCTGTTGAAAAGTGAAGTGACTGCTTAACATCAACTTTTCAGCGCTTTTTTTAAAATTTGCCTTCAATATTTCCAAGTAAACACGCTTGTCCATTGTTCCTTCGATGAAAACTAGTTCACCCACACCAGCTGCGGACATACAACCCCACACCATAACACCTCCACCACCGTGCTTTACTGTGGGCATTAAGTTGCAACTATTGTATGCCGTATTGGGTTTTCTCCACACTTTAATGCGGCCATCTGAGCGAAAAATATTAAACTTACTTTCGTCGGAGAATAGGACATCGTTCCAGTAAGTTAATGGCTTCGATTTAAATTCTTTGGCGATTGCCAATCTCTTCGATTGGTTAACACTCGAAATGAGTGGTTTGCGTCTTGCAATTCTCGCATTGTACCCAGCCTTGTGTAGTACCCGCCGTACCGTTTTGGAGTGAATTTCTTTCCCAGTCTCTTCTTTAACCTCTGATACTATTTGGGATGATGTGATTTTTGGGTCTTTCTTGATCTTTCTTATTATTTGGGTGCAATCACGATCGGTTAACTTTCGTGGGCGGCCGGTGCGTTCAGCGTTTTCTACCGTAGGGTCGTCTAAAAATCTATGGACTATGCTCCGAATGGTAAATTGACTTCTGTCCAATAGCTCGCAAATTTCTTTAAAGGATTTGCCTTGTTTGCGTAAATTTAAAATAATTTTTCGCCGCTCTACGGTGGTTTTACACTTCTTACCGGCCATTTTTGCAAAATAATATATAAATTGATGCTTAAACAATTTTTTCTAAGTATTTTTTTAAAGATTCAAATAACGGTGCTTACAGAGTTACATTTTTGCAAAGAAAAGTGTGACCATATAAAAATAATATTAAAATAACAACTTTATATTGAAAATTGCCAATACTTTTGTCCCTATAAAATTACGGGTACTTGGAATTAAATAATTATTAAAAATTAACCATGCCGCCAAAGTTTATAAAAATAAAAATAAAAAAAATAATAATAAAAATAATAATAATAATCGTATGAAAAATATAAAACTATTAAATATTAGACGGTATATTGGACAAAACCAACAATAAAACAAGATAATATTAAACTGCCAATACTTTTGTCCGTGACTGTATGTATATTCACACGCATACAAACATAATTGCTTGCACGGCCCTCATAGAGCCGAAGCTGAGAGCAAATTCTATTTTTAGCTTTTTCGTTCTCTCGGCTGTGAGAGCGCAATGCTACAGATTTCGTTTTCGTTCTCAATTTTCAAAAAATCAAGCTGCATAGTAGCATTTTGTTGTATGGCGTTAGTCATCTTAGAGTTTATATTGTCATTGGTCAAACTGAGTCCTTTTTTATATTTGTGTTTTTTTTTTTTTTTTTGGTTTCTTATTGTTAACATTTCATTTTGATGCTACTGTTTCATTAAAAATATCATCACTTCCTATAAATTCCCAAAAGCAAGTTTAAAATGTCAGGCGGGTGTTCATATTTTTAGTCCAATAGATGAAAAAATATATTTTTATTCAATGTGTAAACTCATTCTTGACATACTGTATATACTATACAATGCTTATACCCTATAATTACAATTATGAACTGTGGGGTAGCTATCCTAGTGGCGTCCTCACAAATTTTCTTGTAAAAGTTATCGTTAGTATCTAGGGTATTATATCATTTTAATAAAGCATGCGTTTCATGGATAAATCAAAAGTGCTTTGCGTCGATTGTAAGCTCAAAACTTTTTCGCTCAATGTACTTCGAAAACGAGGCCATGCAAATCACCATCGACCAGCTTTGCTGAAGGCAGGTAGGCAACTAATTTCTCTGCTCGTGTCAGAATCAGAGAGCCGCGACTTTGGCATCCATGTCGTGCGAAATCGTAAAAGCCAGTTTAGAAAGTCAGGCTATAAATTTTGCGTTGCATGCAATTGACGTTACTCATCTTAGTGTTTAGTTTTTCTTTGGTATAGTATTATCGTGAATGTACGCATCCTTTGTCGAAAAATGTGTAACGCATAGAAGGAGACTTCTCCGACCCCATAAAGTATACATATTCTTTATCAGCATCAACAGCCGAGTCGATATAGCCATGTCTGTCTGTCCATCTGTCTGTTTCTATGCGAACTAGTCTCTCAATTTTAAAGCTATCTAAATGAAACTTTGCAGAAGTCCCTCTTTCTGTTGCACGCAGAACATATGTCAAAAAAAGCTGGATCGTACCACTATATCCCACCACTATATATAAAATTAAATTGTTGTATGAAAAAACATTTTGTTTTTAAGATACCTTGACCAATCTCGGCATTTATTAGTTTTACTATACTCCTCATATATATGCAAAATCCTATTAAGATCGCACCACTATATCATATACCTGCCTTACAAACGATCGGTCGAAAATTAAGTTGTTGTGTGAAAAAACATTTTGTTTATCAAGATATCTTAACCAATCTCGACATTTATTAGTTTTATTGTACTCCTCATATAAATGCAAAATCCGATTTAGATCGGACTACTATATCATATATCTGGCATAGGAACGATGGGTTGAAAGCAAGTTTTTTGATTAAAAACCTTTCTTGTTTATCAAGATATCTTGACCAAACTCGGCATTATCTATTTTCCTATGCTTCTTAGATACGGGCAATGCACTATAAGCATTATGACAAGGTTGGGTCGGCAAGGCTATCAGATCTTCGACGTGACGCTAAGGCCACTGATTTTATCCGACACGGCATAAGTAAGTCGTGTCACCTAGCTTTAATACCCTACTTCTAATATAAATTTGTTGCTCATTGAGAGTGAACAACTACAGCCTGCACGACTTCCCTATTATTAATTCAAATTCAATATTTGAGTAATTCACATTTTTTGTTTCGTTAACCCCCGCACAGTTTGAGCAAAGGAAACCAAATGAGATCAAGCAATAACGAAGATCAGTGCAAGGCAGCACACTTTTGGCACGTGCCAATGAAAATTTGATTACTACTGACAAATAAAATATCGATGTACATATTTCATTAAAATGTTTTTTTTTTTTTGGGGTACAACACAGAATGACTTCTTTATTATATAATAATGAATACAGCTCTCTTAATTGTAACATAAACATTTAATACATTTTTCATTGGCTGTGTGTAATCGGTTAAGAATTTCTCACCGAGAATAAAGAGATGCCGAAAACGAAAAATAACGGACAAGTCAATATACAAATACAGTGGTTGTTACATCAAATTAATTGAGTTGGCACTTTGTATTCAATATAGAGTTTGTATTCGGGAGCGGCGTTTTCGTAGATCCGGTGCAACTCCTGTGCCGGTTCGTATCTGGCGTGATGCATCAGAGCTCTCAGCTCTAACAGGTACTCCATGAATTCCTCCCCCTCGCGTTGCCTGTAGGACCGGATTTCGTCCTCAAGCCATTCGAAGTAGCGTGGGGCAGGAAGAACAGGAAGAATCAAAAACCCCTCCTGAACACCGACCATAGCACATCTCTAAACCCACCGACCGCCCCTGTCGCAGAACACCTCACTCATCGGCCGGGGTAATCTATCGAGGGCGATGGCGCGTTTCTCTAGGTCTCCAAGAACTCGAGGGGGTCGGAGCGATCATCGTATCTCATGCCCCACCTCCGAACTTGTTCCGGAGCGTTTGTGAAAGGCCTAACCTCCGACCGAGAATATGGTGGTTGGGCCCCACGCCTACGTTGGTCGTGGTTGCACGGCGGTCTCAATTTTCCTTGGGATCGGGAGCCTCTTCCACACCCGTGACGGCCACACCAGGGATAGGCGGCCGCGGACGCCTGTACAATTGTGAGCTCCTATGATCAGGCTCTGACTTTTGGCACGGCCGTCCAGCCACGTCAGATGGGACGCCCCAGGATAGCAGCTCTAACGTTTTCGCGAATTGAGACTCCAGCTCGGCAAGCCGAGCCCAGATCTCAGACGAATGGCTGCCCTCCTGCACGGAGGTGGATAGCCGCCTACGCAGTTCCTCCACGCACCCTTCCTTATCTAGCCCGAACACCTGGGCGATGGCACAGCATATAGACTAGACATGAGTACCAGAAAGTAGGCACAACATGTATCCGATGCATCTGGTCCAAGCTCGCGAGTAAGGGAGTAAGATATACATATGATGTATTTTTGAACCGCTTACTCTACAGGAAAGTGCTTGGCGCGCTCTCTTCCATATGATTTGTGCGATAGAAAGGCAACGCTGTTAACTTTTATCTCGCTCGCTCTTACTCTCAGCTCTCAATGCTCTCTCTTTATGTTTAGGGATCGTTTAAATGCGTGTGTGTGTATGTGTCCGACAAGCATAACTGCGCAAAAATTCAATTTTTCCCAAATGCTGAGGCATTTCTACCCTTTTGAAGGCACGAGTAATATGAAATAGAGAAAGGGTTTGCCACGTTGATGCGAAATTCTTGCATATTTGGACTCGCTTTTCACGCACACTTGTATGTTTTGTATATGAATAGAAGCATTTATGCGCTTGTGTGCCTGTTGCTTGCCTGCTTGCCTGTCCCAGATGCAAATTTAACAAGATTTTAGGATTTCTGATTTTCGACCTACAAATGTCTGTGGCTGATCATGTCTGTGGCTGATCCGCCATACTCTACTAGGCCAATCATTGTAGTGAAGCATCATTTTTGTTTCATCATAAAATATGATTGTCCCAATAATCAATTGGATAAGAAATGTGCATATAGGCGAAGCACAATCGTTTTTCAATGTTTATTTATATATAAATTATTTTTTTTCTTGCGCGCAGCTCTTTACTTGTAATCATTGCCAATTATTGCTTGCCTTACTGTTTCATAAGAAACCGCAAATTCAAATTTATCATTCACCTCCCTGGGAAGAGCCCTGGTTAAGATCTGAGGATTTAGAGCCACCTTCCTCATCATGAAACGCTCTGTAAGCTCCGCTATTTTAGGCTTAGGTCCGCCTCCTCTTTTGGGTTCCAACGTACATTCATTATTAATTCGTTTTAAGACGTTGTATATAGTCTTTCGTGTAACAGAAAACATTGCTTATTGCTTGCTGAAATTAAATGCATTGAAAACAATGCAAAACAAAGAATAGATATCGGTAAATGTACCGTTGTTCTTGGAATATTGAAAAAAGGGAGAAGGAAAAGAATGTGTAAAGAGTTTCTTGACAGTAGTCAAACCAAAGACAATATAAACACTAAGATGAGTAACGCCCATACATAGCCTGGCCTTTCATCTGGCCTTTGAGGCTTCGTACCTCTTGCCTGCCGACTGGTTGTTCGTAGTCCAAAGACCAGACGAACGAATGCCGAAGTCGTGGCTTGCTGATGCTGACACGAGCTACGAAGTTATTCGCCAGCCTGCCTTCAGCAAAGCTGGTCGATTCTGCTTTGCGTCGCTTCGTTTTCGAAGTACATTGAGCGAAAAAGTTTAGAACTTACGATCGACGCAAAGTGCTTGTGTTCTATCCATGAAATGCATGCTTTATTTAAATGATATATTACCCTAGATATTAGCGATTAATTTTACAGGAAAATTTAAGAATTTATAAAATTTTTACCAAAGGCGCTTCATGCGCAATAACTATGTTAAGAAAATAGCACACATAGATTGATTTCACTTTTCTTTTTGGACAGTGTATGCTCGAGCAAAGTTCTTGTCTCAGCCAATAGCGTGCGTGCACCTTTCGTTGTATGCGTGAATTATACATGCATACCTTTAAGGTATGTGTTGTTATTCACTGCTCTGGCTTCAGCTGACAAGAAATTAATTTTGTTTGTTTTCTAGCGCAGATCATGACCTATCCCAAATTTGTGTTGATATATGAATGCATTTTGTGTACTGTAATAGGATAAGAGCATCATTGGTAACCCTAGCCAGGGTATTATAGTGTCACTATCTATGTTAATTATAACAGTACGATAAGTAAATATCGATAAAGAAAAGCGGCTGCAGAGAAGAAGTGGAAGGCAGTCTCTCTACAGTACTAGCAGTAAGAAGACGTGTTGTTAAAAATAAAAAGGCAACCCGAACATAAGTTAAATCAACGAAGAAAATCATACTATTACAATATCAGAAGTGGGATTGACTCAGAAAAAAAAAAAAAAAAACACAACAAAATGGAAAATATAAATATAAATGACGTGTCAATAGCGACATTGAAAAGTTGGTTGGCATTACTAAATTTGCCAACAGAGGGTACCAAAACTGAGCTGATGGCGAGATTAAATAAGGTACCAGTGGATATCCGAGACGATGCTGCAAAGGAACTTGAAGTTCAACGTAACAAGGAACAGACAATTGAGGCTCAAAATGAGTTGCAAAACATAATGCAACAACAGCGTGACGAAATAGCAAATGGCGCCGAGATGCTGAAATTGATGCGTCTCGAAATTGAAGCGTCTCGAAAATTCCTAGAAGAATTTCAAGTAACGGTGAACCGCAACTCGCACATCGGCGGGAGCGACGGGGGAGAGCAAGAAAGTGAAGTCGGCGATTTATTGCAGCTAGAGGATGGTCACACTGAAGAAAGACCACGGTCGACGGATGGCAACGCTGGTGCAGCTGATTACACTGGAACGGATGGCAACGCTGGTGCAGCTGATCACGCTGGTGCAGCGGGCAACGCTGGGGCAGCTGGAAGGATCGACGAAAGTGGCAACGCTGTCGGAGGCAACTTAAATAATTGCATCCAAACTGGAGCGATGATGTTAGCCAAGGAAATTTTATTAGAATTTACTGGAGAAAGTGAGGTGCGTAAATGGGTAATGCAATTCTTCAATGTGGCCAAGATCTACAGACTAAATGATATGCAACAGCACTTGCTTTGTATAAGCAAATTGAAAGGCGGTGCTTTGAAGTGGTTGCATGCAGACCCTATGCGCATCATTGCTCCGATTGACGAGATGCTAAATCAATTGGTTTTGGCCTTCGGGGGAGGATTTTCGAAGTCGGAACTACGACAGAAGTTCGAGGATCGGGTTTGGAAACCAGATGAGGTGTTCGCCACATATTTTAGCGAAAAAAGCATATTGGCACAGGACATCAACATTGATGTAGAGGAGTTAATGGAGGGTATTATTCGAGGCATACCTTGCGAAAACTTGCGCACTCAAGCTAGTATGCATTGCTTTACCAATCCGGCTCAAATTTTACGTGCGTTTGCAGCTATAAAGTTGCCAATTAAACGGGTACGAAACCATGTAGTGAAACAAACTGCACAGGAAGCACAGGCGGACAAACAACAACGTTGCTACAATTGCAATGTTAAGGGCCATTGGGCCAAAGATTGTTTAAAGCCCAAACGGGAGGCAGGATCTTGCTATGCGTGCGGCTCAAAGGATCATTTAATAGCAGGATGTCCAAATAAAAAGTATGATATGGAAAACAAATATGTAAGATACTTAAGAATTCATTTTAGTAACTCATTTAACAAATCAATAATTGCAGAATGCCTTATAGACTCTGGCAGCCCTATTTCATTTTTAAAGGAAAAGTTTGTGCCATTAAAAGTAAAGCGTATGCCAGATGCAAATTCGTATGTAGGTTTAAATGAAAGTAAATTGAAAAATTTTGGAAAAATTTTATGTTTTATGAAGAAAAAGTTAATAAATGTTTATTTTAATGTTATAATTGTGGCAAATGAGTCTATGAGGTATGACGCTGTGCTTGGTAGAGATTTTATGGATTCTTTTGGTTTAAATATTGATTTAAGAACATTAAAAATTGTGAACGGGCATAAAGTTGATCACCAGAATAATGGTAAAAATGATATCATAGCTACAAGCTACAAAGAAAAACAAAAAAAAGTGGACGATGAAGATATCAAACACGAGCAAAATGAAACTATATTGTTAAATGATAAAATCGTTAATAAGGAAATAGTCAGTAATGAAACTGGTAGTGATGAATTAGTTAGTGAGAAAATTGTTAGTCCGGAAACGCTTGGTGATAAAGTTGGTAGTGATGAGATAGTTAGAAATAAAATAATTAGTGGTGAAATAGTTAGAAATGAAGTGATTGGGATCGAAACTGTTAGTGATGAGATAGTTAGTTATGGAGAGCTTAAGCTCGAACCTGATAGTGAAGAAGTTGTTAGTGATGAAATTATCTATAATCAAACCGGGATTGAAAAAGTGATTATAGAAGATATAGGAAACAGTGCAGTTAAAATTAATAATCATGTTAATGAAGCGCCAGTGAATAGCGAAATCATGGGAGTGTTAGAAGAGAATTTTGAGAAGGATATCTTAACAATAAGTTGGGAAGATTCTAACAAAAGAGAAAATATATATATTTTAAGTGAAGATATTGATTACAGCACAAAGTGTGAATTTGAAAATTTATTTGAAAATACTTATGTAAAAGCGAAAAGGCCAAATCAGCCAAAATTAAGACATGAGTTAAGCATAAGATTAGAAAACGACAAAGTATTTAATTGTACACCTAGGCGGTTATCTTATATGGAAAAAGAAAAGTTGCAAGAATTATTAGACGACTATTTAAAAGATGGAATCATTAGGCCAAGTTGTTCAGAGTATGCATCACCTATAGTACTAGTGAAGAAAAAAACTGGAGACATGAGGTTATGTATTGATTTTAGAAGACTGAACAAAATTATATGTAGAGACAACTACCCGCTACCATTGATCGACGATTTATTAGACAGACTATGCGGAAAAACAGTATTTTCAAAGTTGGATCTAAAAAACGGGTATTTTCATGTTTTTGTTAATGAGCAATCTATTAAATACACTTCATTTGTTACCCCTTTAGGACAATATGAATTTCTTAGGATGCCCATGGGTTTAAAAACTGCGCCACATGTATTTCAAAGATTTGTTAATAACATATTTTGTGATATGATAAAAGATAATAAGGTAATTGTTTACATGGATGATATTATGATAGCAAGTACAAACATAAAGGAACACATGGAGACCTTAAAGGAAGTGTTTATAAGACTGGTGCAAAACAAATTAGAGTTGAAATTAGATAAGTGTGAATTTTTTAAAA